TCTTCAAACAGAACTTCTTTGATCACTGGATCCTGGGTCAGACCGTACTATAGATTTTTTTAAATCTTTTTTTCATTTTTATAGAAAGGGTGTATTTTAATTAGCTAACTTAGGAATAATGGCAATTTCTAGAGAATTGCTTTTTCTTTATTGTTAAAATTCAGCTCTCAGATGTGAAGGCTTCTTATTGGTTAATTCACAAAGTATGTGGGTAAATTGGTAGTATCCTGTGGAGTAAGCCCACCCCTCTAACACATTGCTTCCCTGTTTGATATCCTAGGAAAGAGAAAAGACATCAACATAGATATGTAGAAGATAAATGTGGACCTGCACAGGTCTATTCTACTGCTGGATACAATATCCTAATACCCAAAGGTGCCATTTATAAACCACAAAGGGGTGTCCTGCCTTCATATTGTTCAGAAGGAATACATGTTCCTAGAGAGGATTGTTTTTTATGTCAGGATGTGTGGAGGTTTTTAGAGGACCCAAACACAGAGACGGAAGCTGAGGTGGATTCTTGAAGATTTAATGCAGATCCAAAAGGCAACAGAAGAAAAAGTCCTAAACCAAAATACAGAAAACCAAAAGAACCAGGAGACCTCAGGTAAAACAAGCATGAGGAGCAAAGGAACAACAAGAAACCAGCAAAGAGAAACTGCACAAGAGGAGAATAAATGGGAGACTGAATAAAGACTGGACTAATTAGTAGATGAGGAGCAGGTGTGGATGGAAGAATCTAGAAGAGAGCTAGGGGGAAGAGACTGTCACAAGGGGGTAAACAAGAAATACAATATCAAATGCAACCAGAAAGCAACACAAAATGGAAATAAAACCAATGAAAACTCAAAAGGAAAACTGACCATGGCAAACTGACATTTTAGCAGAAGAAAAAGACTCAGAAAAGGTAAAGTTGATAAAATTGTGTCCTATTTACGATGAAAGTAGTTCTATATAGACATGGGCTGGAAGCGAGGGTTAGGTGGAGGACCTTCAAAGGCATGAGATAAAAATCAGATTACAGTTTGAATATGGTGGTTGTTAGAGTTGCTGCAGCATGTTGTTGCAGTAGCATGTTTATTGGGTATCCTGCTGCAGGAGGGACTGGTGCACCTGACAAAATAGGGGATATTATGAGAAAATAACATAATATTGAAATTTTGAGGTCACATTTCAAGACATTAATTTGGGTAAAAATTGTTGTTAAAATGGACGCTGACAATGATCACACAGCAAACTATTCAGAAAAGCTTGAGGAAGGAAGCAAAGCATTGGTGTCAAACAGCTTAAAGGCATTTCTACCAAACTCTCAGAAAATATAAGTAAATGAAGTAATTCTCTCATTATTATGTCATTAAGAAGCTAGAAATACTTTTGCAATCTCAATAATCTAAAACAGATGTCATGTCTTAAGTTATTGCGACAGTGAAAGATAGAATTGTTTATATATTTAGGGTATGTAAACAGCTGGTTTACATTTATAAAGTAATGCAGCAGAGACAGCCTTCATGGTATTGACTGAAAGTCTTGTTTTTTCACTGCCTAAAAGAACTGCTTTTTTTTTTTATTGTCATCCTAGACATTTTAAACTGATTATTGCACCTTTCCTTCTTCACACTGATGGTTAGTTTTGACTGGTCTTCACTCGGCAACAGACTCAAAATAGAAGAGTGTAGATTTTGTTAGAAAGCTCTGGTTTCGCTAAGCTTAGATTATGTTTATTAATTAGAAAAGGTTGTTGAGTTCATTACTTGCAGGCCTGACCTTGATTTAGCTGTAAAATTATGACTAATAAAAGGTATAATGTGTGGAAACATGGTTTTCTGTTTAGTTTTCTTTATTGATGTCTCTCTTTTCTTCTTTTCTCCACAAGTTGTTTATTATGACTCAGTTTTAGTCTGTCAATTTACACCAATTGCTCCTTGCATCTGATAGTTAGGCATGGTTACCATAAAACTTCTTTATATTCCTCATTTTGTTCTACTAAGTACTCTAGAGTGTAGCAGCAGAGAACCCTCTTGCAGCTGGGCTGTTTCCAAATGATACCCTGGAATTTTAATGGGTAGGTGGAGGCCCAGCTGGTGAAAACCTGAATAAATGTTGAGCCAAACTCCACCAACATTAAACAAGAGCAGAAACAAAGTGATTTCAGCTTAAGTTAGTGTCTGTAGACAAGCAAAGCAAAAATGTTTGAAACGCAGTTTAGATGGAAATCTCTTTTTTTTTTTTTTTAATGGAGCCCAATAGAACCATCCACCCCGATTCTGAAAATACTTTCAGTAAAATAGGATTTTGAATGTTTGTTTATGAGCAGGCATGAGTTTACTTGGAGCTTAGAGGAGCTATCAAAATACAGAGACAGTTACTAATGGTGCCTTTTAGTGAATGTGTGTTAAATAAAAAGAACTAAAAAAAAAACCTGAAGTGATCATGAAGTTCAATAACATAACCTCTCTCAAGTCTTTATAAAATTGTCATGATTATTGTTACCCTCCCTTTAGAAGAAATACAGCCAAACATTACCCTTTTTTCTGGGGTACAAATATGATGCAACTAGGGCTGAAACAATTAATCAGATTAATCGTGATTAATCGATTATTGAAATAATAGTCAACTAATAGTAATCGATTTATCGTTAATGTGATCGTAGACACACTAAAACACTTTAGCTGACAGAGTGACCCACTTAGAGCAGTAATTATAGCAAAATTGCAATAAAAATATTAAAACATTTTTCATTTAAGATTAAAAAAAGGTTTTCATGTGTTAATATGCTCTATCCAGAACTCCTCAAGTGGATATTTTTTAGTTTCACGTCGTTTAATATTGTAAAACATCGTCTTTAATGAACCTTTGGCTATCTGATTATTTTTATTATTCAGTTAGTCGAAAAAATAATCGACAGATTAATCAATTTGTGAAATAATCATTAGTTGCAGGCCTAGATTCAACCCATACAGTCCTTTCACTTTTAACCATCTCAACAGGTCTCAATTGATTCTATTACAATGGTGGTTGGCATAAGAAAAAATAACTGTACATCTTACTATCACAAAATGTAAATGTATAAGAGTTTTCATAAAAATAAAAAAAAACAATCCAGGTGGATTTGTGTGTAACGGAGACAAAGTGGGATAAAATTTTTTGCTGAAGGCTCCTTTAACTTTGTTAGAGCATTTTATAACAGTCATAAGGGGCGTGGATCAAAAAGACATGGTCAAATAAAACATTTAAACCTCCAGGGGTACCAATGGTGATTCCTTCAGGGATTTTTCCTAGCATGGGACGTCCCCATCCCATATTGATTATACCAATGCAATAGCAAATAGATTTTTCGCCCTTTTTACACATCTTTATCAGAGGCAGCAAACAGGGTGATAGCTGTCTGAGTTTCAAAAGGGATGCATTATCTTAAAAAAGAAACACTAATGGGAATATCTCCAATAAGCCTTGATGACATCATCAATCCAATCTACAGACTTTGCCTTGTTTTAGATATTATGTCAAATGTTTATGAGCCAAAAAGACAAAATCGCTGCATTTTTTTTTTTTAACATCACACTCTTGGTTTTTACTGAAGAAGCAAATCCAGATACCTGTTTCCTTTGAATTTGAATTTTAGATACGCTGTAGATATGATTGGGTTTTCTACTTTTAAAGCAGCGATTAGGAAATTGTCGTCATGAAAATGTAACCATTTAAAAGCATTTCTGTGCATCTTAACCTCCCAGATTGTCAGATATTACCATAGCCCTGTGTGTTTGCCTTGCGATCTAGTTGGATAATCCTCTGCACCGGTCACAGCTTTAATGACATTAGCAGGTAAACAAAGGCTGGTGCCCCTCCCTGGAAGTTGCCTAGAGATTCCCTGGACATAAAGTATCTGATGTTGTATTTTCACGTTACCTCTGCAGTCTGAGTTTTGGAGGCATGTCTAGCATTGATCTTCACATTTCCAGACACGTCTCATAACTGCTCTTTGAACCTATATTTCACATTTAATAAAAGTAACATTAAAATCATCAGCTATGTTTGTTTCTCCACTCTTACATAAGGCGCTGTTAGAATGCAGCATAGTATATGCTGTCCCTGAACTGATCAGATAACCGTGGCCTGAACATGAGGATTAACAGGAAACACACATACTCATGCCATAAAGCCAATCACAACCAAGAAGAGGGAGATAACTACACAACCAATCCCAACACATCTTGCTGTGGGGCAGCCAATCCTGATCCTTCAAGGGGGGAGTCAGATTGACACCTATGGAGGATTTCTAATCTATGATTAACACATCTTCGTCAGTCGTCCTCAGTTCCTCCCGTTGACACGGCTTCTTTCTCCGTGTCTCTGCTTCAGTCTGTCTTCTTGCTGATTGTGGTCCTCTCCATGTGTTCTCTTGGCCGTTTTCTAGATCTTTTTATTTCTCTGCTGAGTAAACGTTCTTATTTTTTTAAGGATGCAATATAGGTCCCGGTCAAAGTCTTTATGTCGTTACACCAGTCCAATTCAGATTAGGTGCTTTCATATACCAAGTCCCATATGAAAATTATATTTGTTGCAATCATTTGGTTAAAGTTTTCTTTTCTATAGAAATGACATAAAGGTGCCAATTAAAAATTAACAACACAAAAATCCTAAAATTATGTGAGTTGAACAGTTTCAGGTTGTGTAATAAGCTGGTCTAATATAACCAGTTATAAACAAATCTGTAAAATAATGCTCTGCCTTTCTCCAAAAATCCCAGTCTGTTTTAATGGTCATAATTTAGGGAATTTATTTATTTATTTTTATTTTTTTCCAAAATCTTAAAACTTCTGGAATAAAAATCTAAACATTTGATTTAGGAGAATTAGGGAATTGTGAAATTAAATGCCTTAAAACCCTTTCTGAATCTGTAGAAACTAGCCAGGATGACCAGTTTAAGGGATAAATCAGTGTTTTGCTACAGATTTCTGTTCTCACAGCTTTTTTTCACCTCATCTCTTTTTGTCTGTAAGGCTTTCAAAGAGGAACTGGAGTGTCTGATCCATGAGCAGCAGAGAAAAGGGAACAACCCGACCGGACTGCTGGCCCTCAGGCAGATCGCAGACTTCTTCATGGCCAGCTCAGTGGCCGGCTTCAACACGTCTCCTCTCAGTAAGTGCTTGTTGCGCTTTGGCCCGTTACCCAGGGGAACCAGACATAAGGCTTTACAAGAACAAGCTGTTGCTGCCCACAGAGGAACCACTTTGGAACAGCTTCAAAAAAACAAAAGGAAAAATGTCACAGTGTCAGTATTGGGAGAGAAGAGATCCATATCCTTTGTACGCTTGAGGGCATTCATGCTCTTAGACAGCCAAACTCCAGACTCCGGAAGAGCTGGGAATACTTCACCGGGTTTAGATCCTCTGTGAGTTTTGTCCAAGAGTCCATATGTGAAGTCTGTTTCCAATCAGAGTAGAGGAATGCACAACTAATGCAGAATTAGACGTCAAAGGCAATGTAGCAGTTCATTTTAGATCCTCCTTAACAGATACTCAGATTGACGGGCGAGGAGGGGCTGGGGTTGAATAACATCACAGAGTAATTTAGGGTTCCAGCGTGGAGCCATATGGGTCAGATGATAAAAATCCAGATGTTTTTAGAGGGGTTTGTTCCTGAGTGAAGTTCATTTTTCTTACTAAAACTATCCCATCTGCTCAACCGGCATCAATAACCTTCATTTTCTTTCCCCCTTCTCTGGTTTAACTGTGATCCTGTAGGTCTGGGGATGGTGACTCCCATTAATGACCTGTATGGGGTGGAGTGCTCCTCTATGGTGAAAGGCGAGAAGCTGACGCGCTGTAAACTGGCCAGCCTCTACAGACTGGTAGACCTGTTCAGCTGGGCCCACTTCGCCAACTCCTACATCACAGTAAGACCAGTCTTTCACTATGCCAGAGAGTTTAAATGTCTCCAGTACAATTCCACACACCAAAAACAGAGCTAAAAGGAAATAAAACTTTCTGATAATAAACATATTATCCCATAAATGAGGGATTTTGCACTTAAAATAAGATAATTAGATATTATCCACTTAAAATAACATTTTTTTTTTACTTTAAAAGTAAATCATCTTGTTCCATTTGCAAACTGTCTTACCTGCTGAAATCAAGAAAATTCTCTTATTTCAAGTCTCACTTTGATTTCAAATTTTTGCAGTGCTGTATAGTTGAACAAACTCACTTTTAATAATAATTCAACTTTATTGATCTCACATTGGAGAAATTTACCTCTGCATATAACCTGGGCTGCCATTGTGTGGCGCCTGGGGAGCAGTGTGGGGTTAAGGGTCTTGCTCAGGGACATAGAGTGGCAGTCTGTGGGAATGGGGCTCAAAATCAGAACCTCAGGATTCCAAGCGCAATGCCCAAACCACTAGGCCCCTTTTCCTAATTCATAGGGTTGAGGCTGTTGCATCCTTTGCCCCATAACATTCACAGGATCTAAACCACAAGACTAAGGCCCCGTCCACACGAAGCCAAACCCTGGCCTAAACGCACAAATTTT